ATTCGCATTCAGCGACCATCTACGTTACGATCCTCAGTGCGTTGGGATGAGTCGCTGAAGACTCAGCGACCCTTGGAAGGCACGTTCACCGTCTGGGACAGGGCGCGGACCGTTAAAGATGCTCATGCGACGGTACAGACGACGCTTGGCATGCAAGAAGATCCCATAACGGATCATTGTTCACTTGATATTTGTATACTTGATTGGGACTTCTTATTAGGAATAGACCCGAAAGGGTAAGCTTAAATACAGAACAGAATTTCCACTCAAGCACACAGAGCGACGTCCGGCTTCAAGGTAAGCGTCAGGTCAAGCTTGTTTGAGTGTGTTATGCCTGTCGGTGAACTCGAAGCTCTGTAGCGAGGGTTCATCCGGCAAGGCCAAGAGACTTTGTGTATTGGCCGATTATTATCGGGAGGTTTTACGTGACGGCTTATTGTTGCCTATTTGCACGACTGGGAGTGCTTGAATTGCCTCCCTTTTATTCTTCCAGCCGAGTGTTAAACACTCGTTAAAGGCTTACCCGTGCCTGGTACCCTTCCGCTGCTGGGACCACGAGGATTCAAAACACCTGCTAGCTTTGCTCGTGCTAGTAGCGTGTTCTTATTTTTACTGGTTGGCCTATATAAGTAGCTCACAAGGTCCAGTTTGTCCCGGTGCAAGGGCAGAACTGGGGTCTTCAGGTCCGCCCGAACGATCGTTTACTATCCTAGTAGACGTATTGTTGTGGGAACGTCCTAACTACATTTGTAGCTAGAGTTCACGTGGGATTTCCAACACCACAATGTCTTTTCATCCCCAACCATCATGTGCTCATTGACCTTCGTGGCTGACCCAGTGATCACCCGTGTCTACATCAGAAATATTCCGTCTGCAATCTGAAACGCTAACATCATTCGAAGTGGGGGTTCTTCGGACTTTTACTGCCATTTTAGCGGTTTGAGGGAAAATTAAGCTTACATAGAGGCGAGCCTGGAAATGCCACTTGCTTTTCTAGATTCGAGTTTCCAGTGGAAACTTTCCACGCCTTACGTGAAGACCCAATCGGCGGACATTTTAAACAGCCAATAGTTCTGGTGGGAATGTATGGGTACCTTTAAAATTGAATTTATGTATAAATACACGAGATTAACGTATTTAGAGGGGTTTAGAATTTTTTTAGACTGTAATCTGATTGACAAGGTGGATGTGGTGTACCGTATTTGAGATCTCCTACTTCAGACCCAATATTTTTGAAGTTGTATTGTTGCAAAATACACAAGATCTGTACACGTACCGACGCATCTCTATCACGTATTATTTAAACAAAACAATTTATTTATCAAGTTCTTCTTCGGGAACTACGAAGTTTTCGATGTCGTGACGCGTATCCACAGCATGGCGCACTACGGGCACTTCTTCCAGCAACCGTCGTAGCAGCTCCCAATCAAGTTCACTCCACAACCGAAACTTGTAGGCGTATGAAATGGCAACGCGCTTGAACTTCTTGGGAGGCTTGCAAGTGCCAGAAATACGGGTTCTCCCTTTCCGTTGGCCGAGCGTGAGGGGAGTACGCGCCATTGCGAATTTCTGGCAATGAGCTGGTGGATAGTTACAGTTTAGCATGTTTTTTGTACTCTGAATTAGGAGATCTAGACTTGTGCGCTGTTCCATTCTCGATATGTGATTGGTTGGAGGGCAGTCTGAATTAGGAGATCACTCTGAAGTAGGAGATCTCAAATACGGTACTGTAACAGAGCTCAAGAAAGTGGCGATGCGCCTTGAGCTGGATCTGAAGCCACGCCCTCCGAAGCGTCCAGAGATTGACACGAACCGTTCTTTTATCATTAATCTTTTTGTACATGTAGTTGATGTGAATTAGAACATTTTTATGCAAATTGTCCGTATGGTTTTAAAATTTGATATAAGCGTAATAGATGTGACGAATGGCAAAACAGGTGTGGGATTAATTCTTCCTAGAAGTTCTAATCCCAAATGATGAACGTTTCAAACAGCTTTAGCTGAAATGGTCGGGACATTTTATACCTTGTTACAATGCCGTCCAAAAACCAAACTGATCCCACCTCAAAAAAAAAATCACCATTTTTTTTTTTACAAAAGAAAATATTTTTTTAAGAATGTTTGAATTGTTAAATGATATCACAAATTTCTACAGCTTTCAGACTCTTCGGACCATGGAGACGAGTTACAGCTTCGTTGCAGTGTTTGGAAGCTTGGTAATACCGGCACATTCTGTCGCTGATAAGGGTCGTAGCTGTTTCCGGCATTGAAGTGCTTGGAGATGGGAGTAACCATTGTCCTCCCATCCGGTGACCTTCGTCGAACGTATCGAAGTGCCAAGACGCCTAGGTCGCTCGAGTGGTTGTGCATCGCGGGACCCTGAGCATCTGAGCATAGCGGTGTGTGGAACCCATTGCTCTGGTCTTGGCAAGACCCACTCACTTCAGTGGGTTCAATTTTAAACGAAGTTTCTGGAAGATCGATAGTCATTCGACAACGTGCTAATGTTGCACTACTTTTAGTGACGTTGGGTGGCATTTCAGACTTGTGCTCGGAACACACGCCACCGCGGATGGCTCGCTTCGGGCAGTCCATAATACAGCAAATTGAGTTGCTCCCGTGGGCATGGCAGTAGCTGTTTCCCAGTGCTCGATTTTCGCAGTTAAGGGAAAGGCATTTGCGATAGCCACCGTGGGCTACGCAGAGTCCGTCGTACTGTACCGCCTTACTACACCCATCCATTCGGCAGCGCTTGCCGCCACCTAAATAGCACGAGATTTGAACACTTGTTAGTAGTTCATTTTCTAGGCGCTAGAAGTATGTTGCATACCGTGTGAAATACAAGCCCCACCACTCTGCGCTCGCTTCTTGCAGCCCTGAAAGCCGCACTTCTTGCCGCCCCCATGGACCCAGCAAAATCCTCCGGTTTGCGCACTTTTGGTACAGTCTGGGGTCTGACATCGCTTACCGCCACCATGAGCGACACAGCGCCCTCGACTGACTATGCTGGTGGTGCAGCCCTCGACTGCACACTTCTTGCCTCCCCCGTGCGATATACAGAGCCCACCGCGCTTGGCCGCCTTCTGGCACTCTGGAAACCCACACCGACGCGAGTGCCGTGAGGTAGAAGTAGAAGAAGTCGCTCTAACGTCGACGGCATTGCTATCGTCACTATCCACCGAATTCCTGCTGCTCGAGCGCATCTGGGTGAGCGAGCTCAAGCTCGTAACTGGACATCGAAATCCAGGTAAAGCAATCTGATCGTAAGCACGTAAGTTATGGCGGCGGGGGCGAGGACAAGCGCGATATCAGCTGGGTAACCCAGCTCTCATCGTGCGAAATCAGGTCTGATACAGCCGTCGAAATGCGCTTACACACCTGTCACTTTCGTGTTGCGGTCATAGCACAATCTACATGTACTCGACTCGACCACCCTAATCCAACAGTTTCTGATGCCCCGCCTCAAGGTCTCCAATACATTTACATTTCGTGAAATGCACTTGGTAATGGAGAACCACTAATAGCAAAGTGTGTGTAGCTGGGCATAGTACATATTGATGCCCTTGATAAGGATAGCTTGGTTTGCATTGCAACATTGTAAGATTAGAAAAGACAAAGAAGAATTTAGTAATTATTATTGAATAAGAGCAAACAGCGCTTTGCTTTATGTTCACAGAGCTGGGGTCAAAAAACAACTA